GAGTTGTCTAGCTTTTCGAAAACCTTCTCGGCCAGCGAGCGAATGTGGTCGGATAGAGTTGGTATTTCCAGGACCTGCCTGATGTTTTCGTTCCTTACGAACCAATCTGCCCTGCTGATTTATTTATTTATTTATTTATTGTCCCTCTTGTTCTAGGCCCTCAACAGGCTTACGCCCAATTACAGAGTAATGATGGTCCGTAAGGCAATGGATTGCACCGCTTCCATCTTTTGCGCGTAGGATTTTCCAACGTACGTTTTCCAGCCTGCTGAAGTGTGCGTGAGGCTCGACCCTTGGCCGCTCTGGCTTATAAAGGGCCGTCCGTGAGTGGGGGTTGTGTTTTGCGTGGGAGAAGTTTTTCGCGCTGATGCCGGGGGTGCGTGTGTTCGCTGGCGCTGGCACGTGATCGGCGCGTGTATCTGCCGAAGATGCGCGTGTGCCACCACAAGGTTAAGAGTTAATGTGCTATTTTCTATCACATCGGCAGCTTTCATACTACCTACTACTCTCGCTACTACTACAGGGTCCGGCAAAATGATCTCCCACATTTTAATCTGTAATAAAAACGCCATTGTAAATGTTATATAGATTTTGTCTTTATTAACTGAAAATGTATGCTATGCCATTTGTTTTTATTAAGTTTTGAAAATTACAGAGTCCAAATGGCGACCATTTTTTTCGATACACATTCGAAGCTGATTTCTGAAAGTTTCCATCACTCAATTTCAATTTCAGGTGTCCGGACACTTCTGGGTCTACCAGTTGATTTTCTTTTTAAGGCTGAACCTGTAACTCTAAAATTTTAAACCCACAACAGTATTGTTTTGCGATCTGGAACTGGACCATGTCTACCAAGCGCGAAGTGAGTACGAAATGTTCTTTGCGTCGTAATCACAGATTCGTTACTTTTCATAAACGTTTCAATAACAAAGGCACGATGCTCACCCGTCCAATTCATGACTGACAACTGAAATGGCAAGGCCAGAGCTACCAACCGACTACACTAAGCTCCCCCTCTCTTCAGTGATTCTGGCACAGTGGCGGTGCAAAATGTGGGAGATCATTTTGCCGGACCCTGTACAAGATGCCTCATTATTATAATGAAAATTTTTTGCTTACTTAGAAATCCAATGAAATTTATATATTTGAGGTCATGTGAATAAAAATATCCAATTACAGCAACATTACACTGATAACAGATCCCATGGGCTGTTTTCACTTCGTTGCTACAGATACGCATGAATGTTAATTTTGAAGTTTCACATAAATTAATATAAATTCAACATGTCACGATTTGGTTGCGATAATGATGAGAAGATAAACGCAATTATCGAGTCAAATACACCCAGAAATACTGTATACAGTAAGAAATTTGTTTGGAAAGCTTTTATGGACTTTTGCAGTATTAGAAATTATGAGTTAGATGGAAGCCGAACGGTAGAAGAATTGGCGTCAATTTTAAAAGATTGGGCCGTAAATATGAGAAGAAAAGATGGTACACCGGCATGTTGATCACACGCCAATTATCCACATCGCAAAATGACACGGATACATTCACTCCACCATGACGCAACACTAATAGACTTCGGGAAATACGAATCTCAGCCTCAACTCTAGCTTAACCAGTCTATACCTAAAATACCTGGACGTATCAAATTTTTAACCCGCAAGAAAGTGTGACAGAACACAGGGGTTTGTCCTACAATGTTGAACTCTATCCAAGCCTGAAACCGTACCCGACATGTACGTTGACCCATGGCACCCCTAAGATGAGTGGAAGCGACGGGCAAGATAGGAAAGGTACCTAACCCCACCAACTGGTCAAAGGATTCCTCATTCATGCAAGTCACTTCGCAGCCGGAATCAAGTAAAGCTAGCATTCGTACGCGATATCAGGACAAAAAAAACGTGTGGTAGACTTGAGACTGAACCTGGCACCTGCAACCGTGGGTCACATGCATTCGACCTCAGCGGACACGCCTCCACGCTACCTACGGGATCCTTCCAATCAGTCTGTCTCTGACCTAACAAATGACTACACAGGGGTAGCATTCGCACATACATACGCGCCCCCGGACCGTACAAGAGTTCACACTGGTCCAAATTCATTCCTCCACAGGCAACAGTCGACGGTACAGAAGGAGAAACCGTATATTCGCACGCCAGGCTCGCTGGGACAAATTTCAGTGGTGTAAATGGGAAGGACTTAAAATGTGGTTTAGAGGATCGGTGCCTTCTTAGCGTTCCCCATGGAAATTTCCCGTCAACTGTCTACGAGGGTTCACAAGGGATTGGGGTCTTCGAGTAGAGGAACCTAAATATGGGGGAACAGTCTCCTCCTCTCTCTGCCGCGATGTGGACTGGTCCAAACGAGGCCTCCGGGCGGCGGTATCTGAAGTAGACTCTGGCACCAGGTGTTTCCGTTTCCCACCTATAGCCTCCTGCTTAGTGATGAATCTCACGGCTTCTTCATGTCGGTATATGTCGTCAGGGACCACAGCGCCTGTATGGAATCAGGGAGTTGGTCCATAATATCCTTTACCAGCTTGGCCTCGGGAACCAACGGCGACACGGTACACAACAAGGACATCTGCTTCAGGAAGTACTCTGACATACTGGACCCACCTGCACCAGCAGCAAACCGTTTCGTCAACACCCTCATCTACGCGCTGCTCCTCCGACCAAAACCGTTCTAGAAACTCACGACGCAAAGCTTCAAAACTCACCCACTCCTTTTCATTCACATCCACCCACTGCGCCACTCTATACCCCAAACACTCTCGTCATCACATCCAGTTTGTCCTCAGGAGCAAACCGAGTCATCCGGAAATACTTCTCAAACTGCTCAAGAAACAACACGGGATTGGTCTTACCGGGAATGAAAAGAGGTTTCTCTGCAATCGGGCCCGCAGATCGCCTCGCTACTTCCTTCCATTCCGTGTCAACAACATTGGTTTTAGGGAGAGGGTTAGTAGTGTTGGGCTCGGGGTTAGTAGGTCGAATTACTCGGAACGAACTCACTGCTTGACGTAGCTTCCGTACAGGTTCCTTGGTCGAGGGTTCTCCTTACCGTCCAGCAGTCGTTGGGTTAAGGCTCATTTACAACCAATTCGATGTGCGCGCAATTTAGTGGTCAAGTTTGAATTTGACCGTGGCTTGGGATGACCTGTTTAGAACTAAACTCGCGCGCAAATTGGCATATTGAATGTAAACACTAAACATAATCTAGTTGATTTATTTTGACGATTCTTACATCATGAACGAAATGAGACCTTATTGCATGCCACAAACCCTTATTCGACAAGAAATGTAGTGGATATAAATCATGTCCGGACACTTAATCACGCGACACATAATCATGGGACATTTAAGCAGGGACAGTTAAACACGCCGACACTTAATCAGACGGACATTTTAACACATAGACATTTAAACACTGAGACAAATAAACACATTGCGTTTGAGGTAATAGCAATACCGCGTTAAGTAACCTACCGAAACATAGCTTAGTGTTATCCAACACTGTAGTAAAACTAAAATATAAAAAAATATATAAAGCTTTATTGAATATTATACATATTATTTATACATGCATACATTATTAAAATACATGAGCAAGGGTTCTTAAATATTCCATTTTATTCGCTGGATCGTAGCTTGCAACTATTCGTTCGACTCTGGTGTTCAGTTCTCTGTACTTCTTCTTCTGAGGAATTCGTTGTCCACTTACGTGCTGCAAATAATATGCGTGTTGTAATGAAATTTCTTTTTGTAGTCCATTCAGAAATCGCCAAATGGTAGGATGACTACATTGAAATAACGATTGCAATCCAAAATGCCAACCTTCTTGGTCGTCCTCTGTGATAGATGTGTGGTGATTCCAATGTTCTGGACTGAAAGCGGATTCCGACGTCGACCGTTCCGTATTTGCCGTCCGCGAACGTAAGTGAATTCGAAGTAATTCAAAAAATCTTCCGTTCCATCTGTAACATTATTAAAAATACATGGTTATATTTTGTTATTATTAAAGAAACGTCATACATACCAAGTTCTGGAAATTCTTCTGCAACTTGTAAAAATCCATTTTCCACATCATGAAGTGGTAACATCGCTAAGGAAAACAGCATTCTAACCGCTAATGCTAAATCATTTGTATTTTGCTCATAAGCATTTTTTAATCCAAACGATGCAATTTTTTTGAAAAATACATCCCGATACGTTGACATTCGGAAAGACTGTTCGGAAAGCGTTCATTGCGCCCATTTCGAAGTCAGTGAGAACTGTGGACGGGTCGGCGCCAGGTATTAAATTTTTAATTATGTTCAACAAACGGATGTATGTGGCTGCTGTCTTATCAGGCAAAAGGGCGAGAATGCACGGAAAAGATATACCAGCTAATTGAACGCGAATGCTGTATAATTAGAAAAAGAGCTCTGGTACTACTTTAAAGGTCCCATCCGCTTGCCATGACGAATTTGCTTCCAATAAACGGAGAAGATCGGCGTGACCAAATATTAATATTCTGTCTTCGTCCTCCCGACCGGAATCCAGTGGCGTAAATAAGGACTTGGCGGCCTTGGCAGCGCCAAGGGGCGCAGGGCAGGAAAGGGGCGCGGCGTAGTTTTCCTTTTCTCATTATTTTTATTGTCGCCTCCCCTCCCTCACGCGTCGCGCTGAATACTTTTCCTGAACTGATTTATCAAAATTCAAAATACTGTTTTATTTTTATTCGTTTTCCCCTGGACCAAATAAATTTTTCTGATTCGACGGTTGCGATCGTGAGAAAAAACGCTTCATCTTTGCTAATATAACCAACTTGGTAGCTGCAATAATAACAAAGTTAGCAATGGTGCCGACTTCGCCGTGAACACTATATATTTTCACTTCTCTAAAAATTTGTAGCAATAGAAAATCTCTTTGCCAATTATTGTGGAGGGGGGGGGGGCGTAAAACTTACGTTTGCCAAGGTACGTAGCCCACCTTAGTTACGCCACTGCCTTAAATATGACGTTAAGACAGGAGATATTGTTTTAAATGGTAAGGAATATTTTTCTTTTCTCTCAAACAGTAATCTATAACAAACCATAGGTAACGAGCTCGAAATTGATGGGTTAATCGAAGACGTTTCAAACCTTGTAGTTAAAAAATCTATCAGTGATAAAACGTACGCTGCCGCTAGTTCAAACAATTTACATTTTACGGGACAAGATTTACTAGAAACTCGTCATAATGATTCTGTTCACCTTTCTAGTTCGACTATTCTCGATGACATCATAGGTATGCCCATTGTCCAACACGTAAATCAAAATCAAGAGCAAAATTTACTTGGTTTAAAACAAAAAATTCGAAAATTAAGTAGTGCTTTGAAAAATACGAAACTAACAAATACCCGACTTCGAAAGAGGCTCTCATTTTCTATTAGTAACTCCCAATCTCAATTAAAAAACAAATCTACCGAAGTACAGACGTTTGTACAAATGCAATTATATCACCGTAAAAGGACCAGTTGGACCCCATCAGAAAAACGTTTAGCTTTATCGTTTTACTACAAATCGCCCAGTAACTATAAATTTATGCTCGATTTGGGTTTTGTATTGCCAAGTGTATCCACGATAAGAACTTGGTTAAAAGTTAACAATTTAAAGACTGGAGAAAATAACAATCTAATTGAGAAACTAAACGCCAAAGTAAAGCAAATGACGAACACGGAAAAACAATGCGTGGTTTTATATGATGAAATTGCTTTAAAAAAAGGATTAAATTACAACCACTATCACGATTTTATTGAAGGTTTTCAAGATTATGGTGATTTGGGAAGAAGAGATGTATTAGCTAATCAAGCGTTGTTATTTTTTGTGAGGGGGTTATTTTGTAATTGGAAGATGCCTTTTTCTTATTACGTATCGTCAGGTCCAGTTAAGGGAGAAGTAATAAGTACTTTGTTGCAGAAAGTTTTGCAAAAATTGCAAGATATTGGATTGGTTCCAAGGATGGTCGTTTGTGACCAAGGAAGCAACAACCGAAAAGCGCTGGCATCCCTGGGAGCTTCAAAAGATAACGTTAAAATTTTTATAAATGGAATGGAGATATATACATGTTTTGATACACCCCATTTAATTAAAAGCTTGAGGAACAATTTTATGAATACAAAATTAAAAATTGTCGTAGACGGTAATGAAGTATCTTGGCACGATTTTGTCGATACTTATAAAATCGATCATAAAAGCAATGTAACGAGAGCAATGCTAAAAATTACAGATACGCACGTAAATCCAACAACCTTTCAAAAAATGAAAGTGAAGTATGCCGTGCAGGTGTTTAGCCACTCGGTAGCAGCTGCAATTGCAACATGTGCCGAAACTGGAGAGGTTCGATCAAGAACTGCAAAGAATACGGCTTCATTTTTAAAATACATCAACGACACATTTGACTGCTTGAATAGTCGGGTTGTTAAAGCAGCAAATCCGTATAATTGCGGATTATCAACTTACAACACCTTCACAACAACAAGGTTAGCCGAAGCATTGCAGTACTTCCAAAAAATTGAAATTTTTGAAAACGGGCGGGCGAGAAACAACATTTACTGTATAGAAGGGTTTCAGTGGACCATTAGAGCAATTCTGGGTTTGTGGGACTCCCTTGTAAAAGACGACTACAAATACATGCTGACGTCACGAATCAATCAAGATCCATTAGAAAACTTTTTTTCAGTGATAAGAAATAGAAATGGCTACAATGCTCAACCAACTGTAAAGCAGTTTCGTATAGCTTTACAACACAACATGCATATTCGTCTACAAGCCCCAGTGGACGGAGCAAATTGTGAAGTAGATGCAGACGACATCTTGGAATTGTATGACAACCACGACCATCCAAATAATTCTACTAGCAAAGATTATCAAAGGGAGGTATACACTAGTTGTAATGACAATGATTTAGAAGTTGAATACGATTGCGATTAAGACGACGACGAACAAAGAGCGGTAGAGGTAACTCATTTGGAAAGTACGAGAAAAACCGGCGTAACATTAGAAGATTGTACAAATGTGTATGTAGCTGGTTACCTATATTTTAAGCTATCAAAGAAATTCGATTGTAAAAAATGCAAAAATGCATTTTTAGATGAAAGTGAATGCCTTGACGATAAATCTCAATTATTTTTATTGAACAAAAATTATGGATCCACGCATACTATAAACTATTTAAGCAAACCAAATAAGTACTTTGCAGAAATTGTGACATTTATGCTACACAGCTTCAACACTTTATTTGAAAAGCATAAACTCAAATACGATGTTAAGAAAATTATCAAAAACTCTCTAGTGCTTAAAATAAAACAAAAATATGATACATGGTTTAATAAGCAATGTGAAGATCATCAGCTGTTTATTGTGGACAATTTAATCAAAATTAAATTGTATAGGTCAATTTCATGGGAAACAGGATCGACAAAACGTCGTAGTACGGCGCCGGCGGAGGGTTGTAAACCTCACCGTAAAGTAAAAATTTTACAAAATTAATTTACTTTTGTAATGTTTTAGCGATTGGTTCAATTCGATGAAATTGTACATGAAACATTTTTTGTAAAATTTTATTTGTTGCAAATTTCATTCAAGGCTTTTTGAGTAGTTTTAATTGAATTAATTTGTCTATTTTATATTAAAAACATTTCACATTTAAAAATAAAAGGCAAGTCTATCAGCAAAACATACATCTACAAAAAAATGATACAAATTATTTATTTTACTCATTTAAGCAGATCGGAATAGCCGATAGGCGAAAGCATTAATTTATATCGTTTTTTAAATTTTTTAAAGTCAATGTTTTGATCACGAAGGGGTATATATTATAATTTATATAATATGTAAATTTGGTTGTTTTTGTTTTCTATTTTATTTAACAGTACTTGCGTACAAGATTGTACAACGGCACGCGAGGTAAGCGCGGTGTTCTGCACACGTTACAATAGCGCGCGGCGTGCGGGCAGAGCGGTCACGTACAAAATTATTTACAAGAAAACGGTAATACATATCTAAGTAATTTTTTCACAAAAAACTATTTGTGACTATTGGCCACATTTCACACAATATAAGTATACACATTCTTTCAATAATAAAAAAGTTTCTCGCTTAATAAAATTTATGCCACGCATAAAGCAATTCCACGACTTTGTTTATTGTTTTGGCTATGTTAATAGTTTTTATTTACTATAAATTATACATCATTAGAAGCGCTCATTAATTATCTTTCAGAAACTGAAAGAATAACCTCGATAACTTATGTGGTCACTGAGATATGGCGATGTGAAGCTAAAAAAACGCGAATTTTTGAAACTCTATTTTTTCTTGTTTTTTGTAAATAAAAAATGTCATGACCACAGCAAAATGACGTGAATGGCCATTTCCGATGAGGAATTATAACACCTACAAAACGTAGTACGGCTCATGTAGTTATACCTCAAAAAAATTTTTGGTACATTTTTTTGTCCGATCTCGCTCCACTATACGGCAATTTTAACTGAATACGGGCCGCCCGTCGATGTTGAAATCTTATACGCGATATCTGCTTTTTCAGTTGTGTTTGCATGAGAGCTGTAAACGTCGCTAGCGTACAGGTTCGTTACTTTTGACGAGAGGGGAGAAACGAGGAGGAAGCGTACGCTCACGATTTCACATTGCGGTTGTCTATCTTCCTCGTTATATGTTAATCAATGGTCATATATAATATAAGAGCAGGCGTTTGAGAGTAAAAGTACAATCGCAACTTCCTCCGTTGCACAAAATTTTAATAATGTCAAATGCAATACGTCCTTCGTAACTGTGGCTTCCAAGACCTTATAGTTAACATGCTGTACAATTATTAGAAACCTGATTACCTACTTTGATGGTAGGTATAGGTAGCTACTTGTGTTCTCAGTTAATTGCTGGTGATTCTTCGTATAATAATGTAAGCAATAACATCTTCCTCATGTTTTGGTTCTACACTTCAAAAAGGTCTGCAAGCAGCAAAGATTGAAACGTCAAACTATAATTTTAAATGTGAACATTGTGATTATGCAAAATAGTGTGAAACATTCTTACAAGTCCGAAAATGAAAAAAACGCACGTGGATGGCCCAATCCTTGATGGAGCTAGACCAGATAGACGCTTTGTATCAAACAGATTACTGTTTCTCACACATCAGTTTCAAATAAGTAGGTATAGTTTGACAGATGTGTACAATAAAGTAAAGTTTGACAGAAGCGTACAATAAAGTTGAACTTTATGGCCGCAAAAGCGACCACAAAAACAACGTTTTTGTGATGATAGCCTAAAAAACATTTTTATGGCCCTCTGGATCTGGTCCCGGGGTACATGAAAAGTGCATAAAAAAACTGTTTACCCTCGATTTTGTCATAAGGATCGCATAACAAATTTGTAAACGAAAGCGTTTGCAAAAGTTTTAAACCGGGATTCACGCGCGTTTTCAATTAGTGACACATCTTCTCTTCACAGGTGGTCTGCATCATGGATGACCCCACTGAAGAACTCTTTCCTACAGATGAATTTTTCTCGACATTTTTTAAAAATGTAGAAGAATCCGTTGGGGTTGAGATTCGTAAATGGTTATCGAGATTGGAAAGTAATTGCTCAAATAACTGATATAGATTTGGAAGATATTGAGAATTTTACCAAAGAAACGTTACCTAAGTTACTTAGAAACAAAACGCAATATAGCGAATATTATGGGATCTTTTCTAATAATGTAAAGGAATTCAAACTATTAAATGGACAGAGGAAGTTAATTAAAATGATAGTGGATCATTACAAGTCAATATCATCCTCGATCTCGTCCATTACTTCTAGTAATAAAAAAAAACAGAGAAAATAAGATTGAATTTAAATACATGTTCCGTTTATATTTAAAGTTTATATATCATTAACCTGTCGGTTCAACTTTTTTCAAATATATCTTAGAGAAATTTTGGGAGGTAATCAGAGGAAATCGGGGTAATCCCAAAGTAATCATGGGAAATCTCGAAGTAATCACAGGAACTCCCAAGGTAATCATAGGAAATCTACAGGAAATCTGAGGAAATCAAGGCAAACGTGGTAATCTCTGTACAAATTATGGGTTGCGAATTACCCCTCGGAATAAAGCTTCAGATCGTCAGCAAACAACAAAAAGTTCGCGTTTTCACAGGAGCTTGCGATGTCGTTAATAAAAACATTAAAAAGAAGGGGTCCAAGATGTGATTCTTGCGGTATTCCAGATGTAATCGGTATAGTATGAGAAACAAATTGCTTGATTTTCACTATTTGCTGTCGGTTCGTCAAATAATCGGCAAACCAGTTAATTAAGGAACCACCTACACCAAGACACTTTAATTTATTTATTAATACCATATGGTTCACTCGGTCAAATGCTTTTGCAAAGTCTGTATAAATCGCGTCAACTTGGTATCCTTTTTCCATAGCTTGTAGAATGAACTGCTCAAAAATTAAAAGGTTTGTGCAAGTAGATCTACCTAGTAAAACCGTGTTGCTCGTCGATGATGACATTCCGGAACATCGGAGTAATTTTTTCTACCACAATGCTTTCAAAAACTTTAGGAATTAGATTTAGTATCGATATCGGACGATAGTTACGGATGTTCGTCTTATCGCCAGATTTATGAATAGATGTGACATAACTAATTTTCCAAACAGAAGGGAATTCGCCCGTAGATAGAGAGCGATTAAAAAGTAATGTTAATGGGCGTGAAATAACATAGACAGCTTCTTTTAAGAATATCGCAGATATATTGTCTGGGCCGGGTCCTGTGGAGTCGTTCAACGTTCTAATTTTCTTGAAAACGTCACATAAATTAAGCGCAAAAAGCAGCAGTCGAAGTAACTGGATAAGCAATTTCCTCCTGGGCCGCTACCTTGTTCTGAGTAAATACCGAAGCGAAAAATTCAGCAAACATATTTGCGATAATATCGCCGCGATCAGAATCTTTGCCGTCGAAAGTCATCTTGCACGGTAATCCATGATCCTTCCGCTTAGAGTTGATATAATTCCAGTAATACTTCGTATTGATTGAAATAGAACTCTCCACTGAAGCTAGATACTTTCGGTAGCACAAATTAGTAAGTTCCTGCATTGCGACCTTAATGCGGAAAATGTAATATAGTCTATGTGTAGGTTTGTTGATTTATATAGTGCATGAGCTTTCTTTTTCTCCTTGATCAGATTAATAAGTGAAGGGCTAAACCATCGAGGAAATTTGAATAGGTTACTTATTCTTCGAATAGGGACAAATAAGGAAACGGCATTGTGCAGATGGGAATAAAATATATCAACAGCTTCGGAGAAATTTGGTACCGCTAAAATTCGATCCCAATCAAGACTGGCAAGGTATGCTCGAATGGCATCATAATTCGCTTTCTTGAAATCGAAAATGTAATCGCAATAAGAAATAGTATTCGACGGAGTACAATTGGTGGTAATGTCGAGATGAAGAGGCGGGTGATACTTATCACATATAAGCAAAGGATCATTTGCTAGGCTAAGGGATACATTACGGGAATTTGAGAATATTAAGTCTAGAAAGGATCCGAGCGTATTAGGGATATTATTCATTTGGTAGAGATTCCAGAAGCCAAAAGTTTCATTCAACACAGTCGTTTTATCATAATCCGTTTGAAGTGTAGAGTGCGTTTCACCACGAGCCGATAAATCATCATTAATCCATCGAGTGTGGGGTAAATTGTAGTCTCCTAGCAGGTATATTGGTATATGAGCGTTGCACTCCATAATTTCGTCAATAGCTTCACAATGTTCGGAATAGCAGGATGAAGGAGAGTTAGGGGGGATGTATACCGCACCAATAATCAAAATGAAATTACCAAGTTGAATTTTTACAAACAATTGTTCAACTGAATTATTGTTAACACAAATAACTTTACTGGAAAGGGTATTTTTAACAGCAATCAAAACTCCACCCCCTCGTTCGTGACTACTTGTCTTCTTGTTGCGGTCAAATCGATGAATTATGTAATTATTATTAAGACCTAATTCGCTGTCATGAATACCTTCATGTAACCTGTTTCGGTGAATACAATAAAGTCGTAACTAATGCACGAACCAAACACCGCCCTACTCAAGAGATTTAATTTAGTTCTAATACCGCGAACGTTCTGATAGTACAAACTTAGCGGTTGAATGGTGTTATGTCATTATCTTGCGGGAACAATTTTGGGAACACCCCGTATGTAACGTATGGTTAAGTCTTTCTCATTACCAGCCAATCGTTCCTGCAACTCTGATCTTAGTACATCTGTATCAAATAGTGTTGCTAATGTAGTGTAATACATGTTGGGCCTATACTTAATAAGTGTAATTAAGAGCTCGTCTTCATTAGAAAATGCATAGTGACATTTTGTGTATGGTTGACCAAAATGTTCACAAAAAAAATTAAATAAACTACTTGAAAAACCTGTCGTGTCTCATCTGCGTATCATTCAAATAGGCACATGATATTAGTTGTGACCGCTTGCAACTAATAATCGTTTGAATTTGTTTAGTATGCATTTCTTTTCCCGGATCTTCTGTGGGTTCAACTGTAGATACTTCTGTAAATGCAACATCGGTTGTGATGCCTTCATCAATTTTTTCGTCTTGATCTTTAGGTGTATGAATCGGGGTAGTGGCTCTTTCTCGTCTTAGTATGTATCGATTTCTGCGTGCTGAAGAGGTATTATCATCCCGATCATGTGTACGTTTTGGTAAATGCAGTGTTGGTGTAGCACTTTTTTTTAATATCTTCCATTGACCTGCGACCACAGAAATATAGATTTTATAATTTAAAGGAACATCCTACCTAAACTAGTAACCTCATAGTCTTCTTCACGAAAATGTTTTTCACATATTTTTGAGTGCTTCGAAGGAGTTTTTCCTGACTTTTATGGCGATCAACCACACTCTTTTTCGTTTTTCGTCTTTGGGATACGAATGAAATTTATATTTTGTATTTTTGGTAGTGGAATTACAACCATAAACAGAGCAATTATAGGGCATTGTCACAGTTTGAATAAGAATTTTAAATAAAAATTAAATGAGGTTATGTTTTAATACCAAAACCCGATTGTAGCGACACCTATTTGTAAGTGGTCTATTGTACCATTAGTGTAGCATATGAACGCAGCCTTGCTAACTTCAAGTGATTTGGGAGCAGTAGGCAAATTTTCGTTTTGGCGCGTTGTGGTATAATTTTTAGTGCGACTTTGTAAGCTCGTAAGTACAATTCTATGATGTTTAAAAAAATAACTAAGATGACTTATTATACCTAATGGTTCCCTCGTTAAATTAACCTCAACGTTTATCTGTATTTTATCGTTTTTTTGTCGATCAGATTTTTTTTGTTTACAACGACATCCGGGGCAATGGGACGCGTTGTGCGTACAATTGCCCCTAAGATGCGTACCATTACCCCATTAGACTTTGTTGTATTTAATCACGGTTGTTTTCTTTTAAAGGAAACAATGGTGAGAACGTACCAAAGAAAAACAGTCAAAGCTGCTTGGAGCAAAGCCTCTATGTAAGCAGCTTTGGATGCAGTGCGTAACGGCATGAAAATTCTCAAAGCTGCCGAACGCTTCGAAATTCACGAATCGACTGTTAGAAAATACCTTAAAAGAGGTGCAGCTGCCGAACCATCTATGGGCCGAAAACCTGTATTTAACAAAGCACAAGAGAAGGAGATATCTGATCACTTACTAAACCTCGCAAAATCTTTCTATGGTTTATGGAAGTCGGAATTGCGTAAAATAATTTACGAATATGCGGAACGAAATAATATGAAGCATCCGTTTTGCAATCGATCTAAGATGGCTGGATATGATTGGGTCAACGCTTTTCTTATGAGAAATCCAGAACTTAGTATCAGAAAGCCCGAGGCAACAAGCCTAAACCGCATCTTTAACAAGACCGAAGTCGATAGATTTTTCAAAAACCTGGAAACTGTGCTGGAAAAATATCCTACCCTAACTGCTAATGATGTCTATAATGTAGATGAGACTGGGATATCCACAGTCCAAAAACCATGCCCAATAATAGGGCCAAAGGGTCAAAAGCAAGTGGGTAAAGCTACCAGCTGGGAGAGAGGCCGTAACATCACCGTTGTCTGTGCAATGGGTGCTGGTGGAAAATACATCCCACCTATGTTTATTTACCCACGTTTAAGAATGACTCCTGCATTAGAGAGGGGTGGTCCACCTGGATCTCTTTATCGTTGTTCAAAGTCTGGATGGATAAACGGAGGATTTGTTTATTGAATGGTTAGTCCATTTTGAAAAACATTCTCAGCCGAAAGCTGACAGTCCTGTTTTATTACTGATGGACAACCATTGTACTCACATCTCTCTGAAGTCATATACATTTTGCAAAGAGCATCACATCGTTGTATTTGTCCATACCACCACACACGTCGCATAGGTTGCAGCCTCTAGACGTGACTTTCTTTGGTCCTTTGAAAGCTGCCCTAAACCGTGAGTGCGATTTACATTTAAAAAATAACGCATATCAAAAAATAACACCATTTGACATGGCACCAATCTTTACGAAAGCTTATTTAAAAACAGCCACTATGGAAAAAGCAATCTCAGGATTTTCAAGCTGTGGAATTTTCCCAGTGAATCCAGAAAAATTCAGCGACGATGATTACGTAGCCGTGGCAAATCCAGTATTAGAGAATTTAGATGCCCAAGTACCAGCAGATATTGCAAATGACCCACAAGAGTTGCATGATGAACCTGGTGACGGAGCTGAGGGCGAGGCTGCGGTTGACCCAGCCAATCATATAATATCTATTCAGGAATTAGCTCCAATTCCGGGACCATCTGGCGTGCAACCAATGACTACTCGTAGGAAGACTCAACATTCCGAGATAGTAACATCAACTCCTATGAAAGTCATTTTAGAGGCTGCAGCCGAAAAAAAAGAACAAGTAGCAAGTCATAAGAATAAGGAAGATAAAAAGAATGGAAATAAAGGAAAGCAGAAGGAGAAGAAATACAAAGCACCTAACTTAAAAAGTAAAAGAAAAGTTAAGCGCAAGGAGTTGTCTGAAAGTTCATCAGATGAAGAAATCTGCGACAAAAAGCTTTGCATTGATAGCGAATCAGATATGGATCCTGATCCAGAGGAAACTGCGGAGCTGTGCATATATTGCGATGAGTTTGGACGTGACAGAGAAATGTGGTTTTGTTGTGGCAAATGCAAGAAGTGGTGCCACAAAGAGTGCAGTGGGGCGACAACCGCGATTGGATTCATTTGTGATTATTGTCGACCAATTCTTGCAAGTAAAAGGGTTCTTACTTTGTAAAAGTTCATTTTAAAATAAATATGAGCATGAAATGGTCACTTCCGAATGGCAGTACAGCTAAAACTAACATAACTGTGTCCTAAAGAAGTTATATGCGTACCATTGCCCCGACTTCCCCTAAATTTAAATCGTTATTAGGTAGAAATTGGCTAAATGTTTTGAACCCTGAGTGGAGGGACAAATTTAACTTTAATAAGTTAAAAGCAAACATGAATCAAGTTGATTATTGTAAACCACACCAACAGTGAAACAGTAAAAGAAAATAAAAAAATTGCTAATTTTGTGTCCACACTCAAGGATGAATTTCAAGAGATTTTTAGAGAGCATCCTAAGTCATGCATAAATAAATTTCAAGTAGAGTTGAAGTTAAAAGCAAATGCACAACCAGTATTTCATAGAGCATACGATATGCCTTTTGCCTTGAAAGAAAATGTAGAAGTTGAATTGTCAAAGATGGTACATTCAGGAGTTTTAAAAAAAGTAAGTTTTACTAAATGGGCTAGTCCTATAGTCGTGGTACAAAAAAAGAATACGAGTGAAATAAGAATTTGTGTGAATTTTAAAAAGACTTGAAATCCTGCATTAGATACAGATCATTCCCATACAGCACGAGCATTTTCCTAAACATTATCACAATGTAGGTATAACATAAGTAGCAATGGAATGTATGAGTGTGCTCTTGTATTGCTCAATAATAGCTGTAGGTATTTGAGAAATACATCGGTGTTACATTAATGGTAAGGTGAGCCGCTTCGCAAATGTAGTGTAAACGTTAACACAAAGTAAGTACATAGGTATGATGTTAACGCAAATAAGTTTCTTTAATACAAACGTTTCCACAAGGTACGCATAGTGTGACAACAGCACTGATATGTGCATGTAAGCGTGGTCTTTGGTGCTAACATTTTTCAAAGGTACACACAGAGTCAAGGTATTAATGTAAATGTGGCCACTTGGTATAACTTTTTTTTATCAAGAAGACACAAGATCATTACACTCGCGGAATGATAATGTAAATGTGGTTCTTTTATTCAAGCTTTTCAACAACGCAGACACAGACTTGTTGCTTTAACGTAAATTCGCTTCCTTAATACACACTTTTTTCTAAAGTAACCACGAATTGTAATCTTTAAGAGATGCAAACGTTTTGCAATAACCTTGGTAATAACGTAGATTCAACACCATTACTTTTACACGAATTTACTTTCTCAATTACCATTGTTTTACAATGTAGATTTTGTGTTCATACTTTACGGAAATATTAACTAAAGATGTGACCTCAAATACACGTTTTTCACAAAAGTATTCATTCACGTGTAATCGAATTATTCAATGCATGTGCATCCATATTTTTGAGGGTAACGTAAATTAAATGATGCAATAAGTATTCTGTATTATACATACTACCCTACAAGATCCATTTTATTTTAATAACAATTATGTGGGAATTTGCAGCGCCGCAGTGTGGTAAAGCCGTCTTACACTATGCAATTTGTTGCGCAAGAAATTGTACAATTTCTTGTGCAAAATATATTGCAAGGATTTAGCAATTCATTGACGCTCTACTGTTTTAAACTATGCAATTTCCTGTGCAAGAAATAACCTGCGATTCTGCGCATTTATAATTATTTTGAATCAACAATACTACAGTCCTAACCTATTAAGTGTATTTATAAACGTACCTATAGGTAATTTATTGATAAACAACAAATATGCAAAGACCAATCGCAATTTTTGGTGCATTCGTCGCCTCATATATAATAGGTAAAATTGTAAAAAGACGCGTAGTCCAAAAAACACAAAAAAAGAAAAAGAGAAAAACGTGGCAAGAAAAATGGCTAAATAGAAGAGATATGGGTCGAGGAGTTTTGTCACTTTTAAAAGAAGAATTACAGTATGAAGATCCAGACGCTTACAAAATTTTTTAAGAATGGATAACCAAATATTTATGGAACTTTTAAGCCTTCTTGACGATACTATAAAAAAGCAGGATACTCATTTACGTCAAAGTATTTCAAGTGACAAAAGGTAAACCAATATCAGCTAAAATTTTCTCATTACTGTATAGCTAATTTGTACTTGCAGACTAGCAGTAACATTACGGTATTTGGCTAGTGGAAATACGTTTAGAGATTAATGTTGGAATTCTGTGTAAAATATCCGAGATCGTAAGCGGGTTTACGGGCACTCGTAAGATCGGAACTAAAAAAGGCAATTCTGTGTCCGCCCGGATCTTACAAATTCTCGGAAGTCCCTACGGCTTGTCGTAAATTCTTACGGTGACAGATTATCTGACCTAAACTTATCCGAGCGCATCAAAATGAATAATATGCGCTTCTATTTACATATTGGTGCTCTTCTCGAAGAAGATAATGATCGGTAAGAATCAATATTTAAAAGCATAACGCAATTTTCATAAACAAACTTCATATAACATTAAAATTTGCGTATAATTATTTTTAAGTAATTTCATGAGAATAACGAAGAGACAGTTAAGGGACTCGCTTAATGTTTTTGAAACAAGCGAGAAAGACTTTAAACAAATGTTTCGTTTGGACAAAGTAAGTGTAATGGGTTTGATCGAGGAAATAGGCCCCCATTACCAAAACACAGGAAGTATTCCGCTTCATTTAAAGGTAATACCTAGGTATATTTTTATACATATCATTTTCAATACCTATGCTGTAATAACTACAAATTGGTACCTACAGGTACAGATACATAAGAAGGCGAAAGATGACGCATCCTTACTATTCATATTCTATTAATTTGTGCGCCACTGAGTGGGTTCTGCAGTCTGCGTATAGCCATTGTTTAAAAAATGGTATAGCCCGCTGTCGCCTTCTTATGTGCCGGTGCCAGTGCAATAATTACCCAAATTCGACAGGTTCTAACAACACTAAACTTTGTTGCCACTGGTTCATTTCAAAATCCTGTAGGAAGTAGCTGTTGGATTTCTTTGAGTCAGCCATCAGTTTCAAGAATAATACACGAAATAACATCTTTAATATCACAACATTTGTTGCCAGAATGGGTTCAATTTCCGACTGACTTCGAAACAAAAAATAATATTAAACAAGGGTAAAACATTAAGCACATAAGTATTTTAGATAAAACCTTCAACTTTATTCAGATTTTACAACAAGTGGAATGTACGTGGTGTTCTTGGAGTTGTAGATGGAACTCATGTTGAAATTCTTGCTCCACCTACGAATGACGTTCACCATCCCCCTTTTGTTTATATAAACAGAAAAGGAAAACACTCAATAAATGTTATGCTCGTATGTTAAAGGATAAGACGTATAGAAAATGAATATTAATTATTTATTTTGTAAAATTAGATTTCGGATTCTAACACAAAAATTATTGCTTGCAATGCCAGATATCCTGGGTCCGTCCATGATTCTGCAATATGGCAAATGAGTAATATTAAAACTTATTTAAAGCGGGAGTATGATAATGGAGATAAGTCCACGCATTTACTTGGTATTTAAACATATTTAACAATGTTATAATAGAAAAAAAACAATTTTTTTTACCAAATTTACAGGTGATAGCGGATACCCCCTTGAACCATGGCTATTTACTCCCTTTTCGAATTTTGAGCAAGGAAGCCCAGAAGAACGTTTTAATAACCAATTCAAGACGGCTCGAAATGTTATTGAAAGAACCAACGGCATATTAAAAGGACAGAATATGCTACAAACCACTTCATAACTACGATACAGAATGCGGGCTGGACCGCTACACCCCAGCCAAAAAACATTAAAATTCATAGCCCCAATATTCCTAACGAAATCATGGAAATTGTAAAGGAGAAAAGAAAAGCAAGGGCACAATGGCACCGCACACACAGTGTTGAAGATAAGAGGAAATTCAATCAACTTAACAATAAACTCCGAAACAAATTACAAGCTGTTCGGAACGAGACATTCCAAGCATACTTGAAAT